TTTTTTTTCTTCTTCAGGTTTCCTTTCTTCTTTCTTTTCTTCTACTTTTAATTCCTTTTCTTCTTCTATGGGTTTCTTTTCTTCTTTCTTTTCCTCTACTTTTAATTCTTTTTCTTCTTCTGTGGGTTTCTTTTCTTCTTTCTTCTCCTCTAGCTTTATTCCTTTTTCTTCTAATGCAAGTTCCTTTTCTTCTTTCTTCTCCTCTAGCTTTATTTCTTTTTCTTCTAATGCAAGTTCCTTTTCTTCTTTCTTATCTTCAATCTTTAATTCTTTTTCTTCTATTGCAGCTTCCTTTTCTTCTTTCTTCTCCTCCAGCTTTAAGTCTTTCTCTTCTTTTGCTGGTTCCTTTTCTTCTTTTTTGTCCTCAATCTTTAATTCTTTTTCTTCCTCTTTGGGTTTCTTTTCTTCTTTTTTCTCTTCTATTTTTAATTCTTTCTCTTGTTGAGGTTTTCTTTCTTCTTTTTCAATTTGAAGTGTAGTTACTTTCGGTGTTTCTTCGATTAATTTTTTTGCTATTGTTTTGTCAATAATTTTTTCTTCCTTTTTCTCTTTAGCTTCGTCTAAATATTTTTCTGTTGTATCGAGAGGTTCCATTTCTTTTGCTATTTCTATCGTCTTAGTCAATTCTTTAGCTTCTTTTTTTTCCATTTCTTCTTTATCCAATTTAACAAATTGTACTTTGTCAACATCTATGTCTAATTCTTTTTTCTCTATTTTCTCTTTCGTCTCATGAACAAACTTTTCATCAGCCTCAATAACTTCGCTTATTACGTCTTCGACAGCTTCTTCAGCGTATTCTCGTTCCCTCGATTCATCCGATTTTGGCGAAATAATCCGCGATGTGTCTTCTAGCGAAGTAACCGTTACTTCACCTACTTTATATTCTTGTTCAACAGCTTCAAAATCATCGGTAATGTCTTTTTCTTTTGGAATTATTTGTTCTTTAATTTGTATCTCTTCTTTCGAAATTTTTTTACCAATACTAACAAAACCATCTTCTTCTACTTCTTCTTCTTCCTCCTCTTCTTCTTCGACCTCTTCCTTTTTCTTCAAGTCGAGTTCTGCTTTGAGTGCTTTCTCTTCTTTTTCTTTATCTAATTTCGCGACAGATACTTTATCGATTGGCGATAGTACTTCCTTTGGTTCTTTTGTGATTTCTGTAATTTCTTTTTCTTTTTCTTCCTCTTCTTTTTCCTTTTCGATCTCTTTCTTTTCCACTTTTTCTATTTCTTCCTTTTTTTCTTCTTTCTTTTGTTTAAGAATAATCTGTTCTATCTGCGAATCAAATAGATCTTTAGTAGGAACATCGATTAATTTTTGAATGATAATTTCCTGAATAATACGAATGATAATCGTTTTCGGTACAGTTTTTCTCACAGAAATTTCCTCCACGATTTCAATGGTTATACATTTCCCTTTTTTCATATATTCACTAATGATATATTCCTCGAGTTCCATTTGCAATCGTGGAGTAATCGATTCGAGTTTCAAAATATCAACGTTATCGACAACATCCTCCTTCGAAAGTCCTTTCCGTATGATAATCTCTTCGATAATATAAATCACACGCTCTTTTGGAACACGTTTCACGATTGTTATATATTCTACAATCTCGATCGTAATTCTCTTCTTCTTCAATACAAGCTCTTCGATTATCTCTTCTATCATGCGATCAACTTTATCGATGATCACTCTAACTTCGGACGGCAATTCAATTGAGGTAGCAATTTCTTCACTCGCGTCTACTTTGGCCTCTTTATCCGTTACGAATTTGGGCGATGTTGGCGTCGAACCTGGAGAGACCATCACGATCTCTGCCTTCGCGGGAGAAATCTTTTGATCGAAACCTATCACCGACTCTTCTACCCCTGTTCCAATTTGTGCTTCATCGATCGATTTTCTCGCGGTTTCTTTCACGTATACGTCCTCTAATCCAGCTTCCATTACATCCACTTTCGGAGAAACAACTTCCTTATCTGAAACAACCGGCTCCTTTATCGGTTTTTCATCCTCTTTCAACATCTCTTCGCAAATTTCTTTAACGTCACGTTTATCCTCCGGTTTCTTTTCCGGAGACGTAATCTCCTCGATTTTCTTAACCATTTTCACGCAAGGTTCCTCGTGCACTTCAACAAGTTCTTCGGCTTCCTCCTGATAAGAAATCTCTTCCGTGATACCGACTTTCGTCGGTATTACAGCAATTTTATCTTCGATTGTGGTTAATTTTTCAGGCGATTCGACGCCTTCGCCTTCAGAAACTGGTGATTTAGTTTTAGCGGCAGTAGGTGATACTTCCTCTTTTTTGATCGGTTCTTCGAATAACGTTTTGTCCGAAAATAAATCGTCTTCTTTTAAAACTTGAGCAACTTTACGCACGATTTCAATGACATCTTTTGGTTTTTCCTCGATATCTATGCCAGCTGTACCAGCGAGGACTTCGCCAACATCTCGAACGGCCTCTTTAACGTCTTTAGTAGGCACTGGTTCCCAATCTTCCTCTTTTGGTATTTCGAATTTTACTTTCTCCGGTTCTTTAGTTTCGGGCGATATGCTTTCGATCTGTGGTTTTATCGCTTCCAATTTTTCCACTACACCTTCCAACGTGTCTTTAACGACATCTTTCACTAGTGGTACTTCTCGCGTTAGGTCGACAGTTTCTTCTTCGATCTTTTCTTCTAACGACTCCAACGAGTCTCTCAGGCTATCCTTCACCGTCTTAAATTTCTTCGAAGCTTCTTCCAGCAAGGCTTTTATCTCTTCCGCGTCTTCCTCGACTTCTTCTCCAACCTCCTCTTCCTTCCTAATCTTGGTATCGATCTCTGTTATTTCCTCTTTCCTCTCGTCCAACGCGACTTCTTTCGGCTGAACTTCACTCACTTTCACGTCTTCTTTTATCACAATTTTTTCATCGACAGGTTTAGGCGCAGCGACTTCTTCCTCCTTCTCTTCAACCTCAATTTCACTCGGTTTCTCCTTAATCTCGGGCTTTGCTTCCTCCGGTTCTGGTATGGAAACATCCTCGACGACTCGTTCCTTCGCGACAATTTCTTCAACAGCCGGTGAAATCTTTGCATCGCTAACCTTCCGTTCTACTTCAGTTACCGTAACTTCTTGAGCTTTTTCACTAGGTTTGCCTACTTTGGGGAACATTTTCTCCATATCTACCTCTTCAAGAACAGTTTTCTCTACCTTAGCTTCTTTAGGAGAGCTTGACTTGGATGAAGATTTTTCGTCAACATCTTTCTCTTGCTCCTTCTTAGATTTTTTAGTCAACTTATCGATACCCTTCTCAAATTTATCGGCAACCTTGCCGAAGAAACTGAAAACACCTTTTTGCTCCTTAACCGGTGGAGTGGGCGGTTCTTGTTCCGGTTTCTGTTCAGGCTTCTGTTCTTGTTGCGCCTGCGGCTGTGGCAATGTCAGCTTTTCCTCTTTGTCCTTCTCAAAGTCTTCTATTCTGTACAACTTGGGATCCACCTCCTCGTGGACAGGCAGATCGGCAACCTCGTCCGGAGTTTTCACGATATCTCGTTGCACAGCTTGCCGGATGTCGAACACGTGAACGTCCGGCTTAGTGGTTACCGTGAGAGGTACAATTCGCGAAGCAGCAGCAGCGACCTCTTCTTCCTTAACCTTCGGTATCACGTCTTTCTCCTTCACTTCCTCGATGATGTGTTTTTCATCGATATCTTCTTTTATCTCATCGAGCGGTATACGCTCGTCCTCGGGAAGCGTTGGGGCTGTCGTTGTGGCGCCAGATTCCAACGTAGAAATCCGTTCTTGCGATTCTTCCAATTTTTCGGGGATTTGTTCCTTTTGGTCAACTTCAGGCTTCATGTCGGTATCGGTAGTTTTCTTCTCGGACGAGTCCAATTTGTCCGGGCTCAAACTGGACGGCTCCTTCGTGACGTCCTCGCTATCCTTCTTCCCAGAATCGTCCTTTTCCTCAGGCTTCTGCTGTATCGTTTCCGCCGCGGTAGCGATTATATCCTTCACCTCCTCCTCCAATTGCTCCCTTCGATCCGGCGACAGATCGATAGGCTCCGCCTCCTCTTCCTCGATCCTCAACGTCTCCACCACTTTCTCTTCCTCCTCTTTCTCCCGCTTCTCCACCACCACGCTCTCGTCCCTCTCCTTTTCCTCGACTTCCTCCTCCTCCCCTTTCTCCTTCACCTGTTCCATATCCTTCAGCATCTTCGCCTTCTCCGACTCAGCCTCGTCCAAGATATGTTTCTGCTCACCCTCCCCGCTCTGGGTAGAGTCCTCGATATAATCCTCCTCCTTCTCGACGATCAAATATTCGTCGATCATCTCCCTCTTCAATGCTTCCTCCATATCGGGTTCAATTATGTCATCATCCGTGATATCCTCCTCTTTCTTGTCGGTAAGCTCGGCGGTAATTTCATCATCCCCCTCGGAACGATCATCTTTCCTCGTCTCCTCGATACGTTCCGCCTTCTGGAGGACGGCCTCGATCTCCTCCACGACCTCCCGTTCCTCTTTCAGATCGGCCAGCACCTTGCTCTCGATCGAGTCCAACGAAATGTCCTCCGATTGTTCCATCAAGCTCTTCTCGGCCAGTCTGCCACCCGCCTCGGCCTCGATCCCTGACGGCGTGGATACTGTGGACGAGTCGGCGGTCCCCTTCTCCCCCTTCGCCTTGCGAGCAACGACACCATCCTTATCGGATTTAACGGAAGTCGTTGGCGTGCTTCGAGTCGATTTCGCGGGGCTGCCTGACACCCGTACTTTGCTCGGACTGACAGGCTTCCTTCGCCCTATCGGCTTTCTGTCCATTGGCTTCGGTTTCGCCGTCACTTTGACCGCGGCTGTTACACCCGTTTCCTTTATCGCCGACTTCTTCTGCTCCACCACCTTCCTGTTGTTCGCGTCCTTCGTGCTTTTCGCCGGAGGGGCGATCTCGATCTTGTGAACAGGCGGCATCTTTTTCACCGCCTTCGATATTTCCGTTTTAGTCGCTACACCGTTCATGGTCTTCTTGGGGGTGGTCGGCGACGATTTGATCACGCCCGTTTCCTTCTTCTCCACGGGGGATTGTTTCGCTTTCTTCGTCTCGGTGATCCTCGGTTTTGGCGTCGAGTCTATTTTCGCGGGCTTCGCGCTCTTCGCCTCTTTCTTCCTCGGTTTCGCCTCCTTAATCGCGGGGGGCGCGATTATTTTTTCAGCCTCCTGCCTAGTCTCGATAGGCTTCCTCTGAATCTCTTCCTCCCGTTTTTCCTCTTTCTCGAGCTTCTCTATTTTTCCAATCTCCTTCTTTATAATCTCCTTCTTCGCCTCCTTCTCCGCCTTTTGCTCCTTCCTCTCCTTCACGTCCTTTATCTCCACCTCTATCTTCTTGTTCTCCAACGCTTTTTTGGTCTTCGCCTCGGGTTTGACCGGTTGCGGTTTAGTGGGTATGATGGGTGTGCCCTGCGCTACGCGGGCTGGCAAATCCTCCCCGC